ATGTCTTAATGAATCCAGCCACAAACAGGATTCAATTAAACTTCCATTAAACTATGATATCCAACCTAAATTAATGTTCATTGAAAGCATACACTTAGGTAATAGTCAAATGTGTTTATCCAGAATATGCGCTAATGATGAGTGTATCCGTCAAAGTGATTGGTATGAAAAGATACACAGAACGTGACAACTAGTCGAGTTTTAAAGAATCAAATTTAATAATGGATGTTTCATAGATTGATAAATCAGGGACGTGAAACTGGATGATTTTATGAGAAAAATCGACCACCACGCCAATCATTTGAAATGAATTGGTGAATGGTTACAGTGTTTATTCTTAGCCGCAGTAAGACCATTTATGAAATAACAACCAGAACATTTGCTTTCACTTCATCTTCTTTTTAGCAAAGTAGTAATTATATGTAAAATGAGAATTTCACTCATCTTTGATGTCAGTCAAATAAACAAACAACATTCATATGACACCCACGATACACAATAGAAAATACCATATTATCTTTTGATTAATGAGATAGACTGAGGTGATCATTGATAAACAAAGTATAATCATAAACAAGAAAGAGGTCAACACAAATATGTTTTGTTCATTAGACAAACACGTTGTTGACACTGAGATTGAAGAAGGAGTAATCAATTTTACTTTGAAAATGTTATCGGATGTAAAGAGAAATGATGATAGAACGTGGTGTTATGTTAGATTCAGTGCGATGAATCAGATGGAATTCGCAATTGCTTTGCAAATCTTATTCCTCACTGCATACGATATACAGGTTTGTGGTGTTTGTACAATTTAATGATCCTTTTGTACTTCTGGACTGTTTGATTTCGAATTTCGAACACAATAAGTTCGTCTGTACTCATCTAGCTGTCAAGCAATATATCTCAATCTTTATCAGGAAATATGACTGATGACTAGCGATGGAATCCATGATTCGCTTTTCCCCTTATTTGTGAATCATCAGCTGGATATACCTACATCCCATAATTGATGTCACCTCTGTGACTCAAACCCAGTATCATTCGGTTCAAGCGGAATTGTCTTATTCATTTAGTTTGATTTGTGTCTTGAATAATCGAAATCTACACAGATTGAATATTGTGATATTTTGCTATTCACTCATCATTTAATAATCTGATTTAGTCAACAATATGTTAAATGATAATTCGATTCCCGGAAAATTGTATCATTCAGAGAGTACTGGTTCTATGCATCTAATGTGATTCAGGAGAGTAATTTTTTTACCAAAGTCAAATTATTCTATATGTTTCCTCATTCTAATAATTCTAAACTGAAATTAATCTGCTTCTAATTGCCTACTGACTTCAATATCGTAGAGATTCACGAATCGATCTTGAAGATTTCTTAATAGCTTCATAGTGGCATTCATGATCAGGATGCTTTCGAAAATGGTGATTCGATCTACCACAAAGTAGCAAATATTTAATTATAAAGTGAAGATGAACATGAAGTCCGGCTTCAGTCACTTCTGTTGGACATTACTGACTAATTTCTTTACTACTTATACAAATATCAGTAGCTTCAAACAGTGCATCAAAACACCATAGTACAATACATGGTCTAATGCATACGAATGTTCAGATTAACTCAACTATACTATTAAAATGTCGTTTTCCTCTTCACATTCAAAAAGATCTTGGGGAAAATCATTCAGAATATTAAGTGGAGTAGTGCAGCATACATGTCACAAGTTTCATCAGGAGCAGTTTGGCAAAATATCAATCCATATTGATTGCCACATAAGTTGAAAATCATTGTTGGCTAGGTGAAAGATGGTTTTGGTTATGATCAAGATACATTGAGACAAATATTTGATGGAAAGTATACACTGGTTGAATCTGAAGACGAATGTTATTAAATATATATGGCCTTACCTTCCCGCAACAAAATACCTTCTTACAATGTTGACTGGTTTGTTCAAATATTCATTGTACTCACTTTTATTGTAAGTTTAGTTAGTTCGATAATTGTTTCTGCTTTCTCCAATATGATGAGAGAATGTATATATCGGTGGGATTGAAGCAAAGAACAAATTCTTAGTTGAGCCCAGAATGAACTATATTTCAACGAGTTGTGATTTCTGAGTGGAAATGTATATGTAACATTCACTATTTTGATTATCATAAAGCTGTTCTTCCAGTGAATTGATTTCTGACAATCACATTACAATTCACTTGAAAGGACGATACTCAACATTAAAAACTGTGATCAAATATTGAGATTGTAGAGTGAAGATCAGTTGCTCAGAAGGTTGATGTTGTATCTTTTCAAGTAACTTATTGAATAGTTGCTCTATAATCATGGTCTCTTCCATGTTCAATGTGCCGTGTGCTTGACTTCTCTATTTGAGCTCAGACAATTCAAGTCCATCACAGTCATCATTCATCATCATTCATTGTTCATCTGTGTTGCTCAGTATAATCATTTCGTTTTGACTGCAGTTATTTACATTGCTACTGC